ACTTCAGTGCGTGTCTCCCTATATTCCATTAAATCCATGTAGACCCGGGTTAGTACTGGTCTTGTCGTAAGAGGCGACTGACGGGTGGTCAGGCTTACTGGCTTGGTTAACACATGTCATCGTATCCCAACTGCGTAGTCAGTCAGTCTGTCAGTCATTGCCTTCTGCTAATCACAAACTAGTCAAGTATACATGAACTGCCTGTACATCAGTATAATAAAAGTGTTTCTGAACTGACTAATACAACTGACAAGATGTAATAAACTGCATATCATCATCCAATACATTGGATTAGTGAATGTCCGAGTTGGAATTGGTCTTCAGCAACCCATGCCTTTCGTAAGAGTCGACTAACGGGATCGGATGGTCAGGCTCTCAGACTTGGTTGACACATGTCATCGTATCCCAATTGCGTAGATCGATGCTCATGCTGTTGATCAATGTATATGTATTGTCTGGTACAGACTCGATTATCTGCAGACCGCATGCAGAATACTGCTGAGTGTGGCGTTAAACAACCAACCAACCAGCCAACCAACCAACTATATTCAGTTAGGGGGTTAATAGTCATGCCGTTGGCCATCATAGCGGCTGCTTGAGTTGGGTCTGCTCAAAGAAAGTGCAGATCAGGTTTGGTAGACTGGTAGTTAGATAGACTCTCCAGTGTTGCTCTTTGAAGTTTCCTCTGATGGTTGAACTACGTTTATCGTTATATGGCCTTCACATTTCCTAAATGTTCAGGCAAAGGAAGTAAGCACATGCCCTCGTGACTTTAATATAACAATATTTCAGTTACGTTGTTTGCATCAAAGGTTTATAGTTTTCCTTTGGATGTTTTTATACAGTCAGTCTTCTTCTCCACAATAAAACGTATCAGAGTGAAGTGATGACAAATACAATTTGAACCATTTTCATTCAATACTGCGTCCTCATTGGCTGCAGTAATGCTGTATTTTTGCTGTAGGTTGTATGGGTCAAGCAGTGGGGTATACCATGATTGCTCTTGGTGACCTGATACATTGTGAGGTTAGATCAATATTGACAGGAATTCTCCCTCCCCTCTAACGTAGCTAAATAGTTTTATTGAAATATCTCACCTATGGGGAGTTGTTTCCCTTTTCAATTAAATACAAGCATATTACTGCAACAGTGTCCTTTCCGGCGCAACTAAAGCTCTGCTTTACCAACTTCAACGGTGTCCAGAACACTGCTGCAATAATTGTGACTCTAACACGCAAAACTGAAATCACTCCTCTTCTAAAACAGCTCCACTGGCTCCCAACTGACCACAGAATTTCTTTCATAATCCTCTGCTTCGTTTTCAAATGTCTTCATCATACTGCACCATCTTATCTTCAGAAACCAGTAGAAATTTATACTCCAAGCAGACCCTTCGCTCAGAAAATAAACACCTGTTAACTGTCCCAAGAGTAATTACATCACAAAATGGCAAAAGGACTTTTACTTACGCAGCATCGACCCTATGGAACAACCTGCCACAGTACCTGAGAGACTGTACAGACTTGACTCTTTTAAGGTCACAACTATCTCTTCTTCTCTGAAGCTCAAATTAAACTTCTTGGCCAGATTACCATATTTTGACTTTCCCATTCATGTAAGAATCGATCCTACATCACAAGACGGCCTCCTTGGTGTAGTGGTTAGAGCGTCCGCCCGGAGAGCGGAAGGAAGTGGGTTCGATCCCCGACCGCGTCATACCAAAAGACGTTAACATATGGTACCTGTTGGTCCCTGCCTGGCGCTCGGCATTAATGGGTACAACAAGGACTGGTCGGCTCGGAGTCAGTATAATGTGTCTGAATAGGGTATTCATGCTTCACTGCGGCATGGTATCTCAGTGGGCTAGCACTATAAAACCAGCTTCAGTCTGGGCTAGTACAAGCAGCCACACATACACAAGCATGCACGTCGTCATATGAGCAAAATACTCTCCAGCGCGACGTAAAACCCAATTTCACCTCACCTCACCTTCTCTCAAGCCTTTTCTCACTGTGTGATGTGAACATGCAATCAGTCATGGATATATGCGCATTACAAGTGTTCTGTTATATTTTATATTGTGTACTAACACGCATAATAACATGTGAGTCAACATATCCTTATGGGATTTTAACTTTGTGTGGGGCTCAATGTGCATGAGCCTTTAAAGAATGAGGGCCAAACTATGAATGCGAGAGCTGATTGCTGAGAGATTTACTCAGACTGTAAGCAAACAACCCACTAGTCAACAGCCGAATACAATTGGGCTGTCCTTAAAGACACATGTTTTGGCAGCTATCATTTAAAACTATAAAGGTTATATTTCAAGCTATGCTGTGTACTTATAGTGAAATCTGTATCAATGTAGGGGTGTTAGCATGGTTAATATGGAAACAAGTTCAAGATTTTTTATTGAGTAGACGTGTAGATAAAGTTCAACAAATTAATTCCATGTTATAACACAACATAAGTACAATAAGGTGCATGATAAATACAAAATACAATCCACATGTCATCAGACACTGCAGTTAATTTTAACATCATACAGGATTTTAAGACAACATGGGTTATCTCCCTTAACTTCTTCAAATTTGTATTTTGGAGGTTGAAAATAAGCAACAATAATAACAATTCAAATTAACAGTATTTAGCGCTCAGAAAAAAGGCTTTTAAGTGAGATAATCCAAGTATTAAGTGCTTCAGTGGCGGTATTGATTACCTCACTAAAAGTATCAGTCGTTGGTTAGTTGGTTTTATAGTTTCAGTTAAGTATCAGTAGGTTGGTTGGTTTTATAGTTTTAGGGCGACGTGGACCAATAAGAGGCCTATTTGCGCCCAACACATTGACTTGATTTAATAAACAATGATAGGTAATTTCATCGCCAAAAGGAATCGTTTAGTTAAGATAAAAGAAACGACAACACTATTAATTTGGATAGATGTATGCGTATGTCGATTAACCTCTGCTTTGTGTTGCATAAATGACAAGTGGTTGTCTCCCCTTCATACATAATTGCCTGGTACCTCTACATTACAAGATACACATGTACAAAGATAAGGATTCGGAAATGCTACTGTCAGTCATTATTTTCAAGGGGCAGTGGGGTAGCCCAGTGGTTAAAGCGTTGGCTAGTCACGTCGAAGACCCGGGTTCGATTCCCTGCATGGGTACAATGTGTGAAGCCCATTTCTGGTGTCCCTCCGCCGTGGTATTGCTGAGATATTGCTAAAAGCGGCGTAAAATCATACTCAATCACTCGCTCACTCACCACTCAAAAGAACCATTATTTTCAAAAACTTGTCAATATTACATAAAATGTGTTTGAACATACATATTGTAAAAAGGAATTGGCTATACAATTGACAAAACGTAATAATGTCAACTCAGCAATATTCTAGCTATTTGGCGGCGGTCTGTAAATAATCGAGTCTGGACCAGACAACCCAGTGATCTACGTCATAAGCATCGACTTTCGCAGTTGGGATACGATGACATGTGTCACACCAGACAGCGAGTCTGACCACCCGATACCGTTGGCCGCCTCGTACGACGAGCATGGTTTACTAAAGATCAATTCTAACTCGGATCTTCACGGGTGAGATGTGGATATAAATGTTGTTGAAGGGGATTGTTGCTGTCAGACGGGCTAGATTTCTGGCGGACGGTCTAAATTTACAGCTAGCCAGCACAATGGTCTGGTAAAAAATTTAGTAATATGTTCCATACATCTGAGTAAATTCACCATATCTTAAAATCTCAAACTGAGCGTTACATTTAGACTTGACAATTTCTGTTTGAACATTGAACTATCGTATCGCAAGCTCAAAGCATTACCTTGACATATATTATCACTAAAACAGCGACACCGCGGAGTCGGATTTCCTTGAAAATGACTGTTGTGAATAGACTGCTAGATAGTAAATACATGTCTCAGGTTCATGGAATTATTCATTGTAACTAAAATTGAGTTATTTTCTTTGGATTGTCTGGTCTGGCTAAATCCATTTTGGGCTGGTAACATTTTGAAGTTACCAGCCCTGATGTCTGTCTGGGTTTTTGGCTTATTTCAAACACTGCTTTGCTAATGATAGTTGTTCTCCTAAGATAGCCCTGATATAAAATCCGTATGAGAAAATAAATTTTCGATAAAGGTTCTGGACCGCCGTCTCTTGCACATCCTGGCCATCCTTTCACCTGTAAGTTAATTAATCGTGTTCAAAATGGTCATTGAAAATTAGGCGGTCTTCATTTATTGTGTGTCATTTTCCGTACCTATTGTTATTTTGAACCAAAACACCAAAACACAACAGTATAATAATACGTTGATACAGTAACAAATATTTAGAATACGTACCTCCTAACACTTCCTAAAATGAGAGAAATATCATTGTTGGATGGTATCATTCATTCAGTGTTATTGTGTGTTTTTTCTTGTCCAGAGTCTAGGAAAGACTATTTACGACTGTAAACAGACAAACTATCAGTTTGTGTTCATCATTTGTTGGTTGTTCTTGTTGGTGTCTGTTGTTAATGTCATTTGTCTCGTCATCCCGGCTGCTTTGTTGGCTCAGTGGTCTCGGCTGTTGCTTGTTACTTGTCGCTGGTTCGAATCAGGATAAGATCCTGTTCTTGCGTTAGCGTACACGTTTACGACTTGTGTCACTTCACTTTACATGTTACATGTTATTGCTATTACATGCATAATGTACAGCCACAATATGAGCAGGCTTCATTTTGTAACCAAAAGACCAAAACAACTAACCTTATTGATCGTATCTGCTTCGTGTATTGTTTGTCATGGTTGTATATTTGTAAACATTTGAGGAAAAGTAACGATTAACAGTCTAATTAATCAAACCTCCTAAACCCTAAATGCAAGGAAACAGACAAACTAACTGTCTTCTAATTCTAATCCGGAATCAAGGACGTCCCAACTTGTAAGACTGTCGGAAAATGTAGATAAAATGTAAGAAATTGATTTCTGAAATGCTCTTTATTAATCGTATCATGAATATCTTGCAAAGTAGACATTTTCACAGTGATTTGGAAACGAGAGATCCTAGTGTTGTTTTTCAGCAATGTTCTGAAACAGAAAAATATACAGGTTCGTGTAGCTGCAAAGGAACTGTAGTTTGGCCAATGATGTTTAATTGTGTCAGATTTATGACAATAAAAGAAATCGTTAATGTCTGATTGCTCGTCACCTTGAAACAATTAATTTTCACTTATCATCACTTGTAGAATCATTAGTATAAAACTGACTGAATAAAGTAAACGAACACTATAACTTGACAATGTCACTGAAGTGTCATTTGGTGGAAAGTGTGAGTTTAATGTTGAATGTGCTACGATGTGAAATTTCACTTTGTACTATTCGATCAAACGATATAAAGTTCCCTCTGGCATTGAGTGTAATTGTAATGCTTTGAGTTGACTATGTCAGTGAGTAGATGGATAGTATTTGATACTGTGCCTCTGAAGGAAAAGATGGCATTTGATGTTCATTATGACATTGAGTGAAACGTTACTATTTGATGTTTTGGCACTGTTTTGCTATTGGGTGAAAAGAATCGAATGTTCACCGTGTCATTGAGTGAAATGCTAGTATTTCATGTTGACTGTGCCACATAGTAAATGGATAGTACTTGTTATCATCTCTGCCACTGAGTGAAATGCTAGTATTTCATGTTTGACTGTGCCACATAGTAAATGGATAGTACTTGTTATAATCTCTGCCACTGAGTGAAATGCTAGTATTTCATGTTTGACTGTGCCACATAGTAAATGGATAGTACTTGTTATCATCTCTGCCACTGAGTGGAAAGCTGGTATTAGATGTTGATTGTTTCATAAAGTGAAAGTTTATGTCCATGTTGACGCTTGTGTCAGTGAGAGAAATGTGAGTCCTTACTGTTCACTGTTGTGTCTTCGAGTGAATCATAGTAATTTGATTTCTCTCAGTGAAATGTTAATATTTTATGAGTGAGTGAGTTCACTTTTACTCAGCAATATTCCAGCTATATGGCGGCGGTCTGTAAATAATCGAGTCAGGACCAGACAATCCAGTGATCAACAGCATGATCATCGATCAACGCAATTGGGAACCGATGACATGTGTCAACCAAGTCAGCGAGCCTGACCACCCAATCCCGTTAGTTGCCTCCTACGACAAGCATACTATTTTATCAAGTGATATGTAATGTGATATCTAATATTCTGATATATGATATTAGAATATGGTGCATTGCACAAGGTTCCAAAATATACACGATGCACGTACGGTATCATTCATTGCAGTATGGCGGAATGTCAAAGACTGTGATGTCTCTGATGCCGGGATAGAAGTCGTTGTACCCGACCATGGTATTAGAGTTTCCCCCTGGAGAGTAAGAATATATGTCAAAGTAAGCAAGTTTCCCTTTCATCCAACCCAGAAAAATCTCTATGTCCATCAAATAGCATCTTCTATAATGCCAATCAAGCATCCAAGTTTTCTTTGTTGTTGTTGTGAGTGAGTGAGTTTAGTTTTACGCCGCACTCAGCAATATTCTAGCTATATGACGGCGGTCTGCGCCAGACAATCCAGTGATCAACAGCAGGAGCATCGATCTAAGCAACTAGGATACGATGACATGTGTCAACCAAGTCAGCGAGCCTGACCACCCGATCCCGTCAGTCGCCTCTTACGACAAGCATGGATTACTGAAGATCAGTTTTTCACGGGCCAATCTACGGAAGTGAGCTGACATACCACGAAAAGGACGTTCTTAGCTGCGATGAAACCAATAATTTTCCAAAGTTTCCTTAATTTAGTTGGCACACAATCTACAGAATTACTGATCAAACAGGTATTAATTTTACTGTCTTTTAGAAAACATTTCTGATGCACTGTTCAAGGCCGGTGTCTGTGAGTGTTTGTCACTCATGCCCTCAATAGTGCCTTCCCTCCTCTCCACTCTCACTCTCCCATACTAACCTTCGCCGTATGTGATCGTACTGATGACTATTGGTACACAGTTGGTCTCTGTGATAGTAGTCACGACGTTCTGTTGTCTGCCGTCGGCTGTGGTGCTGTTGTAGGTGTACGACTGGGAATTCAGCCTGTTCTGATTGTAGCCGTAAAAGAATGGACCCACAGAGACAGCGCCGCCTGAGATAAAACGTTTCTTTTGAGACAGGATGCGACCATTTCATATCAGGGGTTTGTAAAAGTGGCAACTCTCCCGTACAAGCTCTGCTAAGTACCTTGCCAGGGATCGTATCGCATCTTGGCTGGACCCTGATATTTCTTCACCGAAGAGAACTTTTCAAAATGCAATTGCATGTGTGTAATTTATAATTGTACTTTAAAACAAGTTCAAAAAAGTGTAGTAGACTCGGTTCGGGATGCACTCTTAATAATATATAACAGCACAACGTTACCTGACTGCAGAACCTTTCTCAGACTGAAACCATTTGATCAAAACTCAACGACAATGTTTATTGCAAGCAAAATGGACAATATTTTGCGCTTTCAAATTTTAGTTAGTCGGAACGGCTTGCCATCACTATACAAGAGTTAACGATATTTCATAAATCTATTTAAAGTGGCAAGGGCTGTAAATATTTACTAGCTGGATAAGTTGTAACTCTAAATATATTAATAGATGCAACAAAACCCTTTCCACATCTGCTGAAAGCAGAGACGATTGTACAATTCTGACAATATCAAGAGCATGTATTTGTTTCAGCAGCATTACAGCCGTACGATGTTGTTCGTAAACAATCGGGTTTGGACCAGACAACCCAGTGATTGACACGATGACAAAGCATGTGTTTATGAATCACTATCAAATAGTGATAATGCCAGGTGTTCGCGAAAAAGTGAGCGTATGCTGCCCCACAGGTGGCACGCGTTATAAACATATGCCAAGTCTAGTCAACTGTTCACCTGAAATACTTAGGGAACGTATGGTACAAGTCAAAATGGAACTGCATCAGACATAATTATGTCCACAAGAACATGTAGAATCCCAAACGGAAAAAAAACTATTGCATGTTCAGTCTATACAAATGTAAATTGTAAAGACATGCAGTGGGCTAACATCTGCCAGCCTAGCAACGTACTTGAACATCATAATCCCAACGGGTAGATCATTATATTGTGCGTCGTCAGTGTTAATCAATGGTCAACCACTGGTTTGCCTCTGCTTGGACTCGACTGTAGCCAGACGCCGGTTATATGAATTGTGTTGACTGCGGTGTAAAACAATATGCAATCAATATCGAATCGAAAACGTTGCCTGAATCTTGGCAGTACCAGATAATTGGTAGGAGGTATCAGTACATTCCATATGACAATGAATTGACATAGTAGAACCATCTGTAACTTTTAAACTTTTGCTTCTCAAAACTGTCAACGAGGTCATTTCCAACCTCAGGATAATCTTATATAATTATTTAGGAACTGGGAATAAATAGGCATTGTACTTGTGATTATGTAATAAGGCTGTTGGAACCTGATAACCTGTAATAAGGCTGTTGGATCCTGTATAGGTTTGAGATAACCTGAAATAAGGCTGTTGGAACCTGATAACCTGTAATAAGGCTGTTGGATCCTGTATAGGTTTGAGATAACCTGAAATAAGGCTGTTGGAACCTGATAACCTGTAATAAGGCTGTTGGATCCTGATCGGTTTGAGATAACCTGTAATAAGGCTGTTGGAACCTGATAACCTGTAATAAAGCTGTTGGATCCTGTATAGATTTGAGATAACCTGTAATAAGGCTGTTGGAACCTGATAACCTGTAATAAGGCTGTTGGAACCTGAACAGGTTTCAGATATCGTACATTCAGGTATTTGGGATCAAAATGAAAGGGTTCGGCTTTACATTTAAAGCATATTCGTCGACATATAGAACAAACCAGTAAATGATTGAATCTGGACCAGATAAACCAGTGGTTATGAGACACAATTGGTATATCTTCCCGTGACAGTGATCGACGGTATTGATCGACTGTTGGGACTTTCAAGCCCAACATGGACCAACTCTGCTTGAAGTAAATGTGTTTGATAAAAACATTCAAACATTTGTCGATTTATTCTCATATGACTTACTTGGAACACAGACATTCTCTTGATCCCTGAAGTTTCCACGAACTGGGAATGTTGTACAGGTACGTGCCTCTGCATCAATGTTGTAACCAATTCTCTGCAAATAAAAAGCATAATTATTTCGAAATTATGAAGAAACCAGTCATTATGAAGAAACCAGTCTTTGTGACAAATGCCCATACAAATGCACACAATACGAAGACGAATATGTCAAGGACGTGACAATTGTTAAGAGGTTTAACTAACATCATGGAAGAAAAACCTGAATGAGTGAGTTTAGTTTTACGCCGCTTTCAGCAATATTCCAGCAATATCACGGCTGGAGACACCAGAAATGGGATTCACACATTATATCCATGTTGAGAATCCAACCCGGGTCTTCGGCGTGACGAGCGAACGCTTTATCCACTAGGCTACCCCACCGCCCAAGAAGGGCATGAAAGAATTTGTCAAAAACCTTTCTTGCCCAAGTCCACTGAGACGCCATGCGACAATTTATCATGGATCCAGTCGTAAAGCACATTGGAGGTTTTCCTTACCTTCCTGTAGTCGTAGATTACTTTGGTGGTCCCGACGAATTTCCTGTTGTTTCTGTCGCCGGTGATGAGGTATCTTTCATTGATACCGTCGTAGACGATGAAGTACAAGGCCTGAAAATATGCCAAAATAAGGCGAGATGTTTTGAATTATCAGTTTATTAATGTAACAAAGACAATATTTCTTAAATCTTAAATTCAGCGAGACACATATATTAAAGTACTTGCCAAATCATAAGCAGACTCTTCAGTACGATTTTCTAGAACCTATTTGTTTGTTGTTTAAGGCACGCAGCAACATTCCAGCTATATAAGGGCCAAACACCGTAGCATACCCTCGGCAGAGGCAGAAACCTCGAACAAGACAAATGCACCTGTAACTGACATAGCACATGCATTCAAGAGATGCTTCAGGAATATTCAAACCTCAGTGTGATATTTATGAGTGTCTACTGGTTTCAAAACATGCCATATTCAGCTGGATTTCATTCCAGCCCATTGGTAGCAAATGTTCAAAGATTGAATAATATCCCTGTGCCCTCCGAACCAGAAAGTCCTATGCTTCTAGCTTTCGGCCTGAGCTAGAAACTGGCACTTCTGATTTAATGTCCAATGAAATGAAACAAAAGCCGAAAAAGGAACTAATAATTCGAAGCAATTCCGTTTGCCTGACGTTGGCCATCGCATCCTTGAATATTAAAGGTTTAAAAAAACATATTTTAGGGGGAACTTAGACAGAATGTTTCAGAAAATGTTTTATCTCCTAAATGTACCTAAAAGCAAACGCTGGGCGTCCTGTGACAAGCTGTACGATTAAAGTAGTTTTGCGGTCTTTCATTGTAAAGAAGACTATTGCCCTTTTTTTAAGTCAAAACTGAAAAAACGTACTTCTTGAAAAAGATGAAAATCACTATTCGTTCAGTTTAATTTTCATGAAATGGCATATTAACTACTAGTAAGATGAAGTGGATGTTTTAAATTAGACATTCTTTTATTTTGGAGTTGTATATGTGGTATCTCTAATCGAGGCACACTCTCCCCACCACTTTTGATTTCAAATGTCAGAAAATATAATCATATATATGAGCCAAAATCAGTCTTCATATTTTCAGTTCTTTGTCAGAAATAAGCCGTTACGTCAATGCAGAGGAGCGAAAAAATATTTCTGTATGCATGGTTCCAACGTGTCTATACTGAGGCCAATATGCAAAATACCCCTGGCAATTACAAATTTGCCATATCAGTTTATGAGCGATACAAGACACCTCTTATGGATAACAACTTCTTGATTTATTTTTCGCAACGTTTCTGGGCTAGTCCTTGCAACTTCTTCATCCACTTGAAGAAGGTGCAAGAACTAGGTGCAAGAAGTAGCCCAGAAACGTTGTGAAAAATAAATCAAGAAGTTGTTATCCGTAAGATTTGTCTTGTATTACTACACCAACTTCCAAATGCCTTTGAAGAATTTCAGTTTATGAGCAATCACTGCAAAGAAACACGCACGTGAACGGTTTGAAGTTTTCACCGCCACCCGCCTTTCAGTGTAACTTACAGACATACCTCTCTGTCTATCAAGGAATGTATGAAAACATACAACATCAGTCAGAACCGTAAAACGATCTTGCATTCAGAGATTTTCAGAAGAGATTATTTTCACATGTATTTAACTGTTTTGTTTCAGCTAAAGCATTCACGATTACTCTTATATTTTATTCTGGGGCAAACCGAACGCATCCCCTCCTAGTTTATTGAAAGGGGAGAATTGTCACATATGACAACAATGGTTAATGGATGCCGTACTTACACGCAATGTGGACGTAGAGTTGACATAGGTGACATACTGGAACGCGTTGAACTGCCTGGGTTGACAACACAGACTGCCACTGGCAACAGTCAGACCAGCGAGGACAAGAGCTGCTTGTAGGATCATTCTTTGAGATGTGTCTGTACCAAGCCCTCTGCAAAACTCACCCTGACGAATGGAATTCGAACCTGTTCCTCTTTTATCCACACAGAGGAACATCACGTGATGCAGCCAAATATCTCAGGTGACCTATTTATGTTCCATATTAATTCTCAGTGTATAAATATCATGTCATTTTTAAACCCTAAAATAATAAGATAAAAGCCTTGACGGTTCGTTCATGAATACATTTATGTAACATTCATGGGAAGGATAGACATCATATAAATAGATTCATCCACCTTTGACGTTCATGATGAACATCCGGAGCCGCCTTTATATGGGGAATAAGCTGATTGGATGATATACAGGTCAATGGCCGTGTAATCCACACCTAGGGGTATTCCATTTGTCATAAAATAATTAAATTACCGTTGCAGTGTTCCTCTGAATGTGTGAATACCATACATATTGAATATTAACTTAACCAATAACGAACTTATCATCTTCACGTAGATTCTGACTTTATGTCGTACGAAATAGAATGAGTCGGTTTCTACCCACAGGCTGTGATGAAAATGAAACATCGTTCCAAGCGTTGATAGAAACACCATGCTGACTTGCTCAGTATACATGCACAGAGATTGAAACGTGAAAACATGTCTGTCTTGTAGCAAGTGATTACAGAAACTTTCGAAAGATAATAAAACTTGAATTGTAGCATAAAATCTGAATCTGATGCACAGTATCATCAGGCATAAGACATTAACATTCGGGCACCGACCAACGAATTTTCAAAAGTTTGGTCCAGACAGGCTATCATACAATAGCATTTCTGGAGTATGTTTCAGTTTGAGCTCTACTTTTTTTCTGGACGTATTTCTAAATAAACGGCAGATCTAAAACATGGCAATACGTATACTTTAAGAAAACACACGATTGCAAGTTGTTGGCACGTATGACAGGTGTATTCTGTCGCAACATCAGTGCTAATTTGAACATTAAACACATGGTTAATAGTCGACCACCGGTCGTAGACCGAGGAAGACCAATGGCTGTGCTGATCGAGACATATGTCACACTCCTAAAAACGGCAAGTCTTTGGAGAAGCAGGTGAAGCAAGGTTTATTTCGGTCTTCCAACAGGTGCAACAGTGTGTGTCACAGACAGAATGAACGCTTTCCTAACGTTAACGATAGACAGAACGAGCGGTCGTTTTGGAGGTGGCTCAGTCATGGTTTGGGGTGGGGTCACTGTGACTAACGGCTTATACATTCATGCTGCTTGTTGCAATAAACATCTCGTAACATTTGTTAATGTAATAACTGTCCTGCTTCAACCTTGCTTTTTACGTGCTGGATATTCCGTTCAGAAACAATTTACATACTTACACAAGTACTTTTTATAGAATATCTAAACGTTCAAGGCCCCACTAACGTGTTCCATAAAACTGAATCGGGCCTAATTTTGTATCTTATAATATCTCTATATTATATTGTAAATATCACGTGTAATATTTTCATAAACTGTTAGAGTTTGTAATATGCCTGTTAACTATTTTGATTTTCAAGTTATTGTCTGGCCATTTTATACTCACCTACGTATGCAAAAGTGAAACAGTTTCTTTTATAATCTTCCTCGCCCATGGGAGGTAGTTTAAATTTTGAGTTTTCAAACAAAATGTATTTCCTTTTTTTCATCCTTTATATATTCATAATTGCATGTTGAGTTTTGTCAAATCCTTTGTCAGAAACTGGCCACAGTTTGTGGACTGATGGGTTTCCAGAATCAAACTGTGACATGTTCTTTCATGATAAGTTACCACTGTAATCTCAAACTTTGTTTTCCCCATATTTACAGTGTGAGAAAAGCGTTGAATGCGATGATTGATACTGCACAGGCCTGATGGCATATGATGAGGCGGTTATCTAGCAACGAAGTTGGTCAAACCTGGAGCCAGAAACCGTAACAGTCCAAAGGCAATTCTCATAATTACTATTGTACTATCCCACAGAGTACTCATGATCTTGACATTGTTATTTTCCGTGTAATGTCTTCATATTGGACAGGTGTCACAGTTTGAGTGTGTTTATGATAAGTTACCACCATTTCTGTAATCTCAAACTTTGTTTTCCCCATATTTACAGTGTGAGAAAAGCGTTGAATGCGATGATTGATACTGCACAGGCCTGATGGCATATGATGAGGCGGTTATCTAGCAACGAAGTTGGTCAAACCTGGAGCCAGAAACCGTAACAGTCCAAAGGCAATTCTCATAATTACTATTGTACTATCCCACAGAGTACTCATGATCTTGACATTGTTATTTTCCGTGTAATGTCTTCATATTGGACAGGTGTCACAGTTTGAGTGTGTTTATGATAAGTTACCACCATTTCTGTAATCTCAAACTTTGTTTTCCCCATATTTACAGTGTGAGAAAAGCGTTGAATGCGATGATTGATACTGCACAGGCCTGATGGCATATGATGAGGCGGTTATCTAGCAACGAAGTTGGTCAAACCTGGAGCCAGAAACCGTAACAGTCCAAAGGCAATTCTCATAATTACTATTGTACTATCCCACAGAGTACTCATGATCTTGACATTGTTATTTTCCGTGTAATGTCTTCATATTGGACAGGTGTCACAGTTTGAGTGTGTTTGGATTCGTAAAGCGTTTGGGTGTGCAATAAAAGTGTTCAACCTCCTTTTAAGGAGTACATAATGATTAATTGATATGACATCACGAATACGAAATGCTCCTAAAACGTTACAGTTTGTTCTTTTACCATACTTTGTAGGATTTGGTGACAGGTCCACGTTTGAAATTTGTTCAAATGACTGCCGCCTCAACGATGAACACAACTTGTCGTTGAATTATTTGAATACACAATGCTTTGAATACACAATGTCATTTAGAAAGTGGTCAAATGTATTATATATGTTATGTTTGGGATTACTTTTTCTCAGTAAAGTACAGCTTTTAGAGTACTTTTGTTGGGTTGAGTCCCATCCGGAATTCGAACCCACCTCCTCAGAGGCAGCCACCTAAACGCCAGCACACAAAGTCAGACGCCTGATCCAGTCAGCTACCGCGTCTTCCACTTGAATAATTTCTTGTGGAAGAACAGAGTTGTGTTTATCTCATTTCTTCTCTTATGATCAGACATTAGATCTGGATGTTCCTTCATTTAACAAAGGGCGGTGGGGTAGCTCGTCACGCCGAAGACCCGGGTTCGATTTCCCACATGGGTACAATATGTACAATATTTCTGGTGTCCCCCGCCGTGATATTGTTGGAATGTTGCTAAAAGCGACGTAAAACTAAACTCACTCACTCACTCATTTCACAAATGGCGACTGACAAAATCGCAATATCAATATAGCTCTGTGTCACCATTTCCGCATATTGTGTAACCATATTCCAATGTCGTATCACGTTATCAACATGTCATATTGTGTTACGTTGTTTAACGTTATGGTTTTGTCCTTGAAAGGTATCCGTTTTGGCTTTTGGCTGTATTGCAATATTGGCGTATCCTGACGCTCTGTTGCTTGGCGTTGTCGTGATGTCGAAAGGACACCTTGACTATAAAACGATGTCCCGATTTAAACACCGTACTCCCAAAGCATTATCTTCAGCTAATAAACTTATGTCGTAAAATATGTCGACACATCTGGTAGGTACGTAGGTCTTACCCTTTCAGCGAATATCTTGTGTTGTCACTGATGTTTAGTGACCCATTCATATATTTTCTATTGTTGTATTTTCCCTTTATCCTGTTTCGTAGGATAGACAGTAAAACTATTCTTTTGCACTGATGTTCTTTATTCAATTCAATTGGGCTGATGTTTCTACTTGCGGACTGAAGTAGCATATATAAGTATGCCGAGTCAACTACAAAGGACATGTCTTGTCCCAGGTATTTAAACTGACCCCCAATGTGTTGAAAACCAAATCAAGTTTACATATAAGCATCGGAATGGCTGTACATCAACACAGCAGTTGTAATTCAAACTGTGTTCCATTTGCGCCAAAACCTGCCATCATCACTGATTTTCAGTTATCCATCGTCGCAAGAGGCGACAATTTGCTATGTATCAACCAAGTAAGCGACCCCAACCGCCCTACGCCTGTCAGTCGCCCCTTACGATACGCATGGGTTACTGAAGACCAGATCTACTCTGGATCTTCACGGTTCTTGCAGCTTCTATGGATCCATAACCCAAATGTGGCTTAAGTTCATCCTCAACAAGTCGGAAAAGTGAACAGCTGCTAAGTGAGATTACTTTACGTGTTTCGGGCTTGGGATTAATATTTTTGTCATTAAATGTTACAAAACCTTTGTGGACAGTTACTTTCTTAAATATCACGATTGATTTTGTAAAAAAGCTCAAAAAGCCACAAATATTTCATTTCCGTTTCCAGAAAAAGGAACACTTCCTTGTATGTATGTCAGAGACTGCGTGCAAATAATGTCCAGAAACACGGACGGCATGTGCATCCGCGTCCCATGTAATAACCCCGTCTTGTAAGCTGTTATGGTGTGTTTCAAGGTATTTCCGCATATTACTCATCTTGAACAAGTGACTGTCGGCAACCCACACGAGCCACTGTCCAACATTGACAAACCCCAGCTTGCCGCTAAGTTAGAAAACCTAGTAGATATAGGGAACCACTGGCTTGCCGCTAAATTAGTAAATGCATTTTGTGACTAAATGGTCAGTCTTCATGTAATGTTCATGGTGTTATCAACCCTGGTTCCTGTGGCAACCACTGTCATCGGGATTATTTCTTTGCCGCTTTAAACAGCAAACACTGAGACCAAATCACATCAAACAGATTTTTGGGAAAACAATTATTAATTTTCATTTAACCATCTAAAGGATGTCAATGCCGAAACATTATGTCCTTATCATGGTTCATGCTCCATGCTCAGCTTTTACAGTCACATTGCAATAAAATGACAATAAAAGCATTGATAAACAGTAAAACCAGATTGTAAGTTTGAAAAGTAATTGTTA